TGGCCCCGGCTGGCCCCAGCCTCTCCGCCTCCTGGCAGTTGGGGCAGTCACAGGTGGCTCTGCCGGAGTAGCGCCTGGCAGAGGATCGGGGTGACCCTCCTAGGGGCCCGCTGGGTGCCAGCATGGAGCCGGCGGCGGATAAGGGGGAAGAAGAGGGGTCTGGGTAGGAGCCGGGGCCAATCACTGGCTTAAATCCGTCCATCAGATGCTGCCCGGCTGGGCTTAATAGATGACCTCCTGGGCTCCCTCCTGCACCTCCTGCGCACCCTCCAGCGCCCCCTCCAGCGCTTCCTCCGGTTGTGAAGTGTCCAAAGCCGGCTGCCGTGTAATCTGAGCCGTAGCCACCCAGAGGGGAGTGCAATGAGCCCTGTAAGGTGCTTGGGTGTAGGGCTGCTCCTGCCCCGGGGGTCTGAACGTCTATCCACCCGGCTCCGACTTCCCACCAGCTGGAGGCGCCCCCTGCGGCGGCCGCGGCGCCCACATCCCCGGTGTGCGATGGCTTGAACCAGGACTCGAGGCCGCTGCCGCCGCCGCTGCCGCCGCTGCAGCGCTGGAGGACGAGGAGCAGCCGCGGGACGAACCTCCGAATCCAGACAGAGAGCCGGAGCCCAAGGTGCAGCTACCCGAGGATGAGCGCTTCCAGGGGTGAAATCCCTTCCCGAAAGAGCCAGAGCTGTCCGACAGAGAAGACGGGGACGGGCTGGCGCTGCCGATCTTGTTACAGGTGGCGGCGAGCATGGCCAGAGGAGTGGATCCCAATCGGGGCTCTTCCTAGGGAGAAGGAGAGGAGAGATTAGTCAGTCATCTACAGGCAGCCATTCAAGTCTAGACAGAAAACTCAATACTCGGCTGTATCCCTTGAAATCAGCCTGGGGCAACATGGGGCTTATCAGAGGGGCTACAAGGCGCAGCAAGCCGCCTGCTGTCATCTGTAGTCCACATGGAGAGCAACAAATCGCCATCAGGTCTGATCAGACTTTTATTGAATACAATCCTTCCTCCCAAAACTTATTTGAGCCATTCACAAACTGTGTCAGCGTTCCTCAGATCTAATCTAATGAAAGCAAACTTATCAGGATGGGAAGCTGGGAGTAAACTAGACCCCGACCTCATGGAATAACGTGTCTGCAATAATGCATCTTATTTTAAGGAACAGTAAATCATGCCAAAACTGTTCAAGTGTTCTGCAAATCAAAAATCAGATCGCAGAGATGTCAGGAAAACTTATCAGGATCAGGAGGAGATTTTGTGATTCAAGCAGATCCCAACCGAATGGAATAATAAAGTGTTTGGAATGATATACTTGCAATAACGCATGGTGTTTTTAAGGAACGGCAAGCATCAAGGAAAGTGTTCCAGTGAAATACAGGTCAGATCACAGAGATGTTTTCAGGGTGGGAATCTGTGATCTGAGCCGATCAAAACCGGATGTTATAAAGTGTTTGCATGTAAATGTCCTTAGAATAACGCATCCAATGTTAAAGAACGGTAAATCATGCGAAAACTCTCTAAATGTTCTGCAGATCAGATCACAAACACCAGAGAAAACTTTTCAGGATGGGGTTCTGAGGGGATTTAAGGAGATCTCAACTGAATGTAATAAAGTGTTTGCATCTACATGTAATTCATAATAACACATCCAATGATAAAGAACGGTAAGTCATGCGAAACTCTGTGTTCTGGAAATCAAGTCACTTTTCAGGATGTGGGATCTGTGATTTAAGGAGATCAAAACCGAATGTAATAAAGTGTTTGGATCGAAATGTAATTTAAAATAAAGCATGCAATGTTCAAGAACGGTAAGTCCTACGATAACTTAAGTCAGATCAGACTCCTCTGAAAAAAATTACAGGGTGGGGATCTGTGATCTCAACTGAATGAAATAAAGTGTTTGCATCTAAATGTACTTAAAATAAAAACATCCAAATGTTAAAGAACGGTAAGTCATGCGATAACTGAAGTCAGATCACAGAAAACTTTTCAGGGTTCTATGTGTGATATAAAACAAGGAAATATAACACAGGCAAGTATACCGACACCGAAACATTGTGTGATTTCTTCAATCTCATCAAATAAGAAAAAGACACAAAATACAAATAAAAAAAAATAATAGAAAACGATCTCTGGGCTTCTAATGATTTCCATTCTGTCGGTGCTGTCTGTAACATTTCCCAACATACAATAACATATGAATATATAATAAAAGATTAATAATGATGATAATAATAATAATGATGATATAAAAATGTAATAATAATAATAATAATAACAGAAATAGAAAGGATGAAGTCCTAGCTGTGTGTCCCACAATGTCATGAGGCCAGAGGTGAAATGAAGGGAAATGTGGAAGGAGATGAAGACAAGGTTCGGACGTACCTGGCACAGCAGAGGGCTGAGATTTATGACAAAAGGCAGCAGCCGGTTAAGAAGTGTCTGCAGTCATGTGCGCGGCACCTCTGGGCAGTACAAGGTTGTGTCTACAAGTGCCCTCACTACCTTCTCCTGAGTCCAAGTGACTCGGCCCCCTTGAAGTTCCTTCCTCTTTTCTCTCTCCACTCCCTCGTACTATAGGACTCAATAGGAGACTGATAGCCCCTGTCTGGACTCAGGACTGTTTTAACCCCTCCACTAGGCAGTCAAAAAAAAAAAAAAAAAAGAGGGAAAAAAAAAAAAAAAGAGAGGCAGAATAAAAGAACTAATTAGAGCAGCAAGAAAATCCTCAGACTCACCCCTAGTAGAGAAGTTGCCATCACAAAAGTGCCCTCCTCAGAGGATCTTTTTTATATGTATAAATCAGAGCAGTGTTTTTTTAGAGGTGTGCAATACAATGATCGGGTCCGCCCATTCCAGCACAATTGTAGCTCCTCTCTGGCTTTGAAGTACCGCTGAGCCCCAGCCAGCCAATCGGAGTCGCCGCTGGGCTCGCTCAGACCCTCTTCGCTTGCGTGAGGTCATCTAGATTATGAGCACGGCCCCTGCACGCTTACCACAAGCCCGGCAGGGGGCGCTCTAAGTACAGGAGGCAACGCGGCTCATACAATGAAATCTTCCCCCCGGCGGCCGACCGCCTCTCCGAGTGGCTTTTCTTCAGCACGCTCCTATGCCAGACTCTCACACAGCACGTCTGCTCATCTGATTCTCTATACTACTCATCTCCTGAGCTGGAGATAGCCATCTACCCAATCGGAGCCGACTGCCTGGAGAGGTGATACTACCCAGCCAGAGACATCCTCTTCCATTCACATTGACTGCCTGCTTACAGGGAGCTTGCTGGCTGTCATTGTGACATGGGGCAAATATTGGCATGTCCTCACAGCGCACTTCACTGACAGGGGTGTAAGGGAGGATGGGGGACAAACGCTGCCGGCACGGAGAGGGTTAATGGTAGTTTAGATAAACTGCAGCCTCAGCTGCTTTGGGACAACAAGTCCCGGCGTGCACATGGCCTGCTGAGACTATTTGTCCGCCAGGCAACTATTGCAGGTCGTCTATTAAACACAACAAACTTCAATATCTATCTATCTTTCTATCTATCTATCTATCTATCTATCTATCTATCTATCTATCTATCTATCTATCTATCTATCGATCTATCTCCATCTCACTCATATCTATCTGGCAATCTCTCTATCTATTGATCTATTCATCTGTCTGTCAGCCTATCTATTCTTCTACTTTATTGTAGTTCTCTTCTTTTCTCATGTTTACATATTTTTTCTATCTATATGTCACTTTTTTCTCTCCTTTATTTTTTATGTAATCTTTCTTTCTTCTTTCGTATTATAATCATAGATATACATAACTTTCTGTCTGTCTATCTATCTACTTGTCTGTCTATCTATCTATCTATCTATCTATCTATCTATCGATCTATCTCCATCTCACTCATATCTATCTGGCAATCTCTCTATCTATTGATCTATTCATCTGTCTGTCAGCCTATCTATTCTTCTACTTTATTGTAGTTCTCTTCTTTTCTCATGTTTACATATTTTTTCTATCTATATGTCACTTTTTTCTCTCCTTTATTTTTTATGTAATCTTTCTTTCTTCTTTCGTATTATAATCATAGATATACATAACTTTCTGTCTGTCTATCTATCTACTTGTCTGTCTATCTATCTATCTATCTATCTATCTATCTATCTATCTATCTATCTATCTATCTATCTATCTATTTTCTATCATCTGTTCTTTCTTTCTTTCTTTCTTTCTTTCTTTCTTTCTTTCTTTCTTTCTTTCTTTCTTTCTCTCTCTCTCTCTTTCTTTCTTTCTCTCTCTCTTTCTTTCTTTCTCTCTCTCCTCCCTCCATATACCAGATTATCTATCAGTCTGTCAGTCCCTCTAGCTGTCTGTCTCTCCCTCTATGTCTGTCTATATTTCCTATGAACTCTCGGTCAGTGCCATGTGAGGGTGGCGCAGCGTTAGCTCCCTTTAGCGCCCGCTTCTTCCCTGGTGTTTGCTCCTCTCCCAGCCGGGGGCCGATCTATGGCTGGACATCATCATATCTATTGATTACGGGCTGATACCTACACCATGATCCCGGGAAGGGAAGTGGGAAGTAAATTAATGAACTGCTTTCTTTCTCTGAAGGTTGACGGTTAACATAAATGTCGTGTTTATCTCTCCCGGCTCCTGTGAATGATTTTAGCCTGTTGAGAAGGCGTGCCAGGCCGGCCCAGAAGGAGGAAGGGGTGGTGCGAGGAGGGGACTCCGTTTAACAAATAAAAAAGAATTAACTTCATTGCTTTGCTCTGCTCCTATAATGATATTCATTTCCAGGATCTAATGCACACTTGTTTAAATTGGAAAGTTAACCCCTCCACTGCCCAAGGGCGGGAGAGGAGGACCCCTGGCAGTGAAGAGGTTAATGTTCCATGCCAATACATCACTATATGTATATACACAAAGCCTTTCCTGCCCCTATAAACGGTCTAAAACGTATCATGTCGAGTTGTTTTTTGATCCTGTGATATTTGGTGTTATGAATGTACCTATATGTATCATTTCTTGTATACCGTGCGGATATAGTTGGAGCCAATGTTATTATTCACATTCCTTCTATGTATAATCCAGTTTCTATATAATGTAGCTGTTTTTATCTCTTGTTTGAAACACAAATTCATTGATGCGTTACATATTTTCTGTATATTTCTAATTTAACAAAAAGTTTTATTTTTTTTCCCCCAGTCGGAAATCAATGGCATTATTAGAATAGAGCCAAAAGATAAATTTTAAAGGTGCCTATAAAAGAATATATTATCATGTTATGTATGATTACAGTAGCTGGGTCTTTTATCTGTATTAAATATAGAAATGTAATTTATTATACAGCTATACAGGTAATGAGTCACAGGAATGAAATATCTTTTCCCCAATATATGTTTTTGGTGTTTTTTTTTTCTAATTAGTGTTTTTGTGCACAAAAAGTTTCCCATATTAACATTCCGACAGCATCTCCAGCATAAATTTCATTTGAATTTCAAATTTAATAAACCAGGAGGTTTTTAATCATCGTCGGTTTTATTTGTTTGATATTAACATGCTTATTGACCGGGTCTGTTGACCAGTTTGATCATTACAGGACAGCAAAAAGTTAATTAAAACGACCACAGCTCCTTAATCATATCATCTGTCTCATCCACGTCGCTTCCTTTATTACAGGCGATGATGGATAGTCTTCCAGATTAATTTCTCTGTTTCTTCGATTTGGACAACAGCTTTTGGGAGCTCATTTACATCCTGCAAACAACCTTCACAAGAGTCACTTGCTTGTACTGAGTGTTGTAATGTCAGTTGCGTCACCTAACCCTGGAGGGGTGTTATTATTTCACCCCAATACACTATAGAGAAGGACAGAGAGAGACACAGGGTAGAGGAAAACTTGCAATGTACAGACCAGGAACCGATAGATAGATAGATAGATAGATAGATAGATAGATAGATAGATAGATAGATCAAAATAATCTCTATGAATCTCTATGTATATATTATTGGTATAAGCACATATAAGACTTGAAAGAAAGAAAGAAAGAAAGAAAGAAAGAAAGAAAGAAATAAAGATAGGAAGAAAGAAAGTCTTTAAAGATAATTGATAATCTGTATGATAGATCTGATAAATAGCTAATCTCTATGTTTATGCATAGTGTATAGTACATTTAACATATAAGACTGGCAGAGCGAGATAAGAGAGAGCAAACGAGAGAGAAGAGAAGATGAAGCCTCTTTATTTGTATGTATTAGGAAATACATACAAATAAAGATGTTTCATCTTCTCTCTCTCTCTCTCTCTCTCTCTCTCTCTCTCTCCCTCACTCTCTCAGACAATTCGTATATTCACCGAAAATACAAGTTGCATTCACAGTATATATGCCTCTGAACACACATCTCTTTCTCTTGCACTGTATGTGGACCTGTGTCTTTATCCAACCTCAGATACTATGTAACTATGTATTTATAGCGGATACATATTATATATGACATGCATGACATATTATATTCGTCCTCATGCACTATGTACACCTGTAGCCACTCTGGCTAGTCTGAAAATGTTTTAGCTCTCTCTGAAATTAAAATATTTTTCTTCTTGCTATCAACATTTTACATTTTTATTGGATGTATTTTTTTTTTTTACCACAAAATAATAGTTCCCATAGCAGCATGGGGCAGTGTTGTATGTCTGAGGGTCTCTTGCCTGCAGTGACAGAGGCTTCCCCGGGATCTGCTGTTTATTGTCACCTTGTGTTTATTTGTCACTTGCATACGTCGGTGGCTCGCCTGGGCTGCCAGGAGGGCTCCGAGAATTAATCAGAAGAGAATCCTGGTGCCAAAGCCTTACAATTACTGATATTGAGCACATGTGCCTTATTATACATATACATAATCTATGTGTGTGCACTCACTAAATTAACTATGTACATTTCGTAAGATTAAAGTCCCTGCTATTCACTTATAAGCCTACAAATCATACTGCTTAGACTTGATCAGGTTAGTCAATAAAAAGATGAATAGTGTAAATTGTACAGCCACAAACTATATAGGGCTGGATAAAGAGACCAGAATAGAGGGCTCCTCTCTTCTTAAATATCGCTTTCTCACTGCCTATACTTGCTGTAAAAAAAAAAGTCAATTCCATCCCTGCCCTGTATTGATTCCTGTTCAGGCTCCTCTTTAAGGGGAGGGTCTGCGGCCAGATTACACAGAGACTCCCCCACAAGGATGACAATTGAAATCGCAGTTTGGAAGATAAATGTTGCTTTGGGAATTGGGCTTAATTAGAAGTAATCTAGGAGCTGCACTGGGTCATCAGTTTTAAACACACATATGCTCAGAAAGTCAGGAATAGGAGAGATTTTGCAGGGGACACAAACTGAAAGGTCTGCAAAGAGGAGGGCTGGAAGAGGGTGCGATCCCATTGATTGGTTAGTGACAAAGAACCCACAGCTTTAAGAATAGGGAGTTCGCTGCCTGGTGGAGAGGTGATGGGTGACACTTATGTAAAATCTATATATATTTCATCATTTTATACACGCTATACCTTTTTATTTCCTGCGTTAAATAATTCACCTCCTATTTACACTACATCTATCTATCTATCTATCTATCTATCTATCTATCTATCTATCTATCTATATGTAATATATCTATTTATCTATATTTATAGATAGATAGATCGATAGATAGATGAGAGAGAGAGAGAGAGAGAGAGAGAGAGAGATAGATATAGATTAGATTAGATTAGATTTCAAATCTGTCTATCTACTATCTATCTATCTATCTATCTATCTATCTATCTACTATCTATCTATCTATCTATCTATCTATCTATCTATCTATCTATCTATCTATCTATCTATCTATCTATCT